CTTCCGGGATGTCGCAAACGGGAACCACCGGGAAGTCCCGGCCTCGCTGGCCTCCTCTTCCTCCTCTTCCTCCTCTTCCTCCTCTTCCTCCTCTTCCTCCTCTTCCTCCTCTTCCTCCTCTTCTTCCTCCTCTCACCAAGTTGTCTGCTCACGTAGGGCGGGCAGGGAGAGGAGCAAAGGTCGTGGGTGGAGGTGGCATTTGGCCACGGGGTCAAAACCCTCCTCCCAGAGCCCCCCTAACCCCCGCCTCCCCAACACCGAGCCTGGAGCCCCCCCAGTTCCCTTCCCTGACCGCGGAGGGTCCTGCACCCAGCATCTCCCCAGCATCTCCCCGGTGTCAGGGTCCCCCGGGGCCGTATCCCAGGTTGGGGGGTTTGTATCCCGGGTCTGGGGGGTGATGGGGGGGCTGTATCCTTGCTCGGGGGATGAGGGGGCTGTGTGCCCCCCCCCCAACCCCCTCTCTCTGTCCCCACAGTCATGCTGACGGGTGGGATCGTGGCTGTGGCAGGGCAGTTCAAGGGCTGGTACTTCGCGGCGTACGCCATGTATCCTTCCTTCTGCAGAGGATGCCCAGAGCTGGTCTGAGGGAAAAAACCTCAATTTTGGTGGGAGGCGTGGGTGGGGAGGGCCCTTCCCCAGTCTGGCCCCAAATCTCTCCTTCCCTGCCCCAAACAACCCTTTTTTTTTTGACTGGTTGTGCCTAATCCTGGCCCTGAGCACCCCTTTTCCTTGACCTGACCCCCCCACAAAGTGTGGCAGGCGTCTTGGTCTGTCTGCTCGAGTACCCCAGGAGCAAGAGGCAAAAAGGTTCCACCATGGAGAGGCGGTGAGTGACACGTGTGTGTGTGTGTGTGTGTCCCCTGTCACCCCCAGGGTTGGAGGTCCTGCTACCCAGCTCCCCCCACCCAGGCAGAGGGCCGGGGGTCAGAAGCAGTGGGGTAGCAGCAGGGCTGGATCCTACAGGCGGGCTCCCTGGGGTCCCCCATGCAGGGACAGCGTGGGTATGGGGGTCCTTTGGGGCTGGGTGCCCCCCTTTTTTACCCCGGCCCCCCGCTGATGCCCGCAAGAAACAGCCGGCGGAGGTCGGGGGGCAAGTGAACCCCATCCCCGTCGAGGCTGAGTAACGATGGGGGGGGAAGCCCTCCTGCCACTGCTGCACCGCTCGTGCTCCTGCTTCCCAGCTGCACCCCAGCTCCTCGGAGGGGAAACCGGGGTGCCTGGCTTCAGGGGCCGGGGGTCAGAAGCAGTGGGGTAGCAGCAGGGCTGGATCCTACAGGTGGGCTCCCTGGGGTCCCCCATGCAGGGACAGCGTGGGTATGGGGGTCCTTTGGGGCTGGGTGCCCCCCTTTTTTGGGGGGGGGGGGACACCCCCCCCCTCTGACACCCCCAGTGTTGCTCTGCAGGGGCCAGAAGTACCTGACGGCGGTGGTGAAGGTGTTTGGGCCCCTCACGAGGAATTACTACATCCAGGGGATCCCCAAATCCCCAGGGATGCTCAGCTCCTCAGGGGGGGGTCCCCAGATCCTGGGGAATCCCCATATCCCCAGGGATGCTCAGCTCCTCAGGGAGGGTCCCCAGATCCTGGGGGATCCCCAAATCCCCAGGGATGCTCAGGTCCCTGAGGGGTTCCCTAGCTCCTGCTCCATCTCCAAGGAAGCTCAGCTCTCTGGGGGTTTCCCAGCTCCTGGGGATCCCCAAATCCCTGAGGACGCTCAGCTCCCTGAGAGCTTCCCAACTCCCTGAGGGATCCCCAGCTCCTGGGGGTCAGGGAGGGGGGTCCCCAGCTCTCCAAGCAGTTCCAAGCCGTCCCCAGTTCCCTGGGAGATCTCCAAATCCCTGGGGAACTCCAGCTCTCCAGGGAATCCCCAGCTCCCTGAGGGGTCCCCAGGCCTCGCACTGCCACGAGGAGGGGGGTGACCAGCCAGTTGTGCTCCCTGCACCGGCTCTCGCTGTTTTTTTTGTCACTTCTGTGGTTTCTGTTGCAATAAAAAGTGGGAAAGGAGCCGGCTCCCTTTGCCTCCTGCTGCTCCCCGGGGTGGGGGGTGGGGGGGGCTGGGGCAGGGTTTGGTGGGATTTAAGGACAAACAGCCCAATTACGGGCAAACCCTGTGGTGCAGCTGAAGGTGGGGTGGGCAGAATGTGAATGCTACAGGGCCATGTCCCTCCTGCCCTGGAGGGGACCAGGAGATGTCCTCAGGGGACATGTGGCAGTGGGGGGGTGGAGGGGAGCCCACACTGTTGGGCCCCCCTGGAATCTTGTGGTCCCAATGGTGGGGTGAAGCTGGGGGAGGGACATATGTGGTGGCACAGGGTCCCCATGGTTGACCTGCACTGCAGCTCCACAGTGTATCCAAGGTGAACCCCCCAAAGGTTGGTGTCACCCTGGCAAGAAAAGGGGGGTGAGGGGGGTGGTGGTGTCATCTCCTTTCCCAATCATGGATGCTGGAGAGCATCTGGGGGCCTGGGGTGGGACAAGGGACAGCCATGTCATGGCCCTGTGTGTTGGTGCCAAATCCTTGATTGGATTGAGCTGTTCTGAGCCCCCCACCACCACTGCGTGACCCCTGGTCCGGTGAGGGGTGCAGCCATCCCAGGGCACCCATGGGTGCTGGCAGGGCAGCTGGGGTGGGCCCAGCAGGTGGCGCTGGGCCCACGGGCCGTGGGTGCCCCAGGGGCAGAGCCATGGGAAAGGTGTGGGTGGAGGGGTGCTGTGGGTGCTGGGGCTGGTTTCCCCCCTGGGGCTGGGGGTGTGGGGACACCCCGCCACCCTCTACATTGCCATCCCAGTTTGGCCTGCCCCCCCCCAGCCCCAAACACTGGGTGAACTGGTGCTTTGCCCACCATGTTGGGGCTGAGATGCCCCAAAGCCAAGTGTTGCCCCACGGGACGGCCATGGAGGTGCCTCCATCTCCATCTGCACCCCTTTGTGTCCCCCCGCCCCCCAACCATCCCCACTTCCCTGAGTGGGAAGAGAGCAAGGACCATGCCCGGGGTTGGCCTTTATTCGCAGGCTGCACGCTGCCAGCATTAAATAGCACGTATAGAGGAGACAATAAATAGCTCAGGGGGGGTGG